GATAATTAAGCAATCATATTACATATAGAAAACATTAAAATAAATGTAATTAAAGTTCAATAAATACCATTTCCAGATCCAAAAACCTTGTATGACCTTACATAATAGAGGTAGGTCCAGAAATGAACAGCTGTGAAATATATTCACATACATACACATGAGTTCTTTTAAGAATAATACTTGGTGGCTACTAAATCTCCTTGATATTTCCATATGCCAAATATCATATAAATTATTCAATGATGCATAACTTTTCACCTAATAATACATAACTAAGGCTCCTTATTCATTTATTTTGTTCTTTTTATGATCTGCCATTGACTATTTCAGCATTTAGAACTCAAAAAAGACATTGACCTAAACAAACACCTTACTATTTAAATAAATTTTTTCCCTGTAAACATGTATTGCTTACATCATATGTTAAGACTTGTAACATTACATATTAAGCTTACCAATAATTGATTACTGTATTTCCTCACGTATCATGATTCACTAATTGTTAAATGAATTTTATCAAAATTCTGAATGAGTCTTGTAATAAGGGATGAAACGAACATGTCTTTTATACTTCAATGTGTCTAATTGTATTCTGAGACAGTTATAAAGCATCAATATTAACCATGCACCATGTTTATTACCAAAAAGAGAAAAGAAAGAGTACTTCTATACCTTTCATGTGTGACATAATACAAACAGCAAAAAGATGAGAATGATCTCATTACCAGAATCCAACTGCTTGCAATGAAGAAAGATCATGCAGTACAATATTTGTATAAAAATCATTATGATATAATCCTATTGAAACAATTCAAAGGATCAAGGATACCAAAGTTCATCCAAAGCATCCAAAGACTTCTGGAAAAGGATTACCTAGATTCATAAAATGTCTATGATAAAAATGATAAAACAATCCTGGCCCAGAAGTGTCCTCCTAGGTGAATACTAGCACCGGACCTGAAGAAACCAAAATTCCGTGGAAAATGTGAAACGGGGATCGAGCGATCATCGTTTACAAATTTAACTAATCAAGAATAATGAAGCATTACTGAATCGTGTTTACCGATTATTTGCAGAACAACGAACCGAACAGCTGAAGCTGGTCTTCTGCATTAAGTCCTGAATCATTGTCAACTGTTGGCACGATCAATATTCAATAGTCATACTTATCTAATTAATGGCTAGATAGTAAATAGTTCCATTAGTTTTAATATGTAGAATTCTAGGGTCCAGATTTGATTTATTGTAATTACAAAACGAACGAGCTTAACAACGAGATTAGATACCACCAATAGGCTTGATAGAAGCTAGAATAAATGCTAGTAATTAAACAATTAATATTATTAAACCTTGTGTATATATTAGTTTCAGTTAGCAATAAAGAGAATTAAGCAAACTAGCGTTTCGTTAAATACTCGATTGCTCGTTCCCCAAACAAGTTATGCGCCCTCCGTTATATAATTTGCTAAAAGACATCACGCGCAGACATCTATTTTTTTCCTATTTTTATAAAAAACAAACCGATAAAATTTGAAATTATTCAAGAGAAGATATATAGAACATTTTCAAATGTTCTCCATGCAAATGCCAAGTTTCGATCGAATCATCTTGTATACGTAAAACATGCTTCGTCCATTTTTAATAATAATATAGAAATAATTTCGACCGTTTCATTATATTTAACTCCCATCATTTTCTTCGTGCGATTTATAATTCTATTGGGATCATACTCTACGTAACTGTGGGAGGCAAGCGTTTTTCCTAATTGTTTTGAACATTCTTTATTTAAGTTCTGCGACTGTCATTGAAACCGACGAATTCTTTACAAATTTTGATTTTGTTTATAGGCATATGAACGTAGGTTTCCGACATGCCCTCAAATTCCTGTCTTTGTTGGTTGCGAAATAGTTTCAGATGAGGAGAGTAAGAACGGCGCGGTTCGGATAACGGAACGAAGATGCAAACTCAATGTCGACGCGCCGTATATTTTGAAAAAGGTGTGTATCGGCAACGAAAGGTTGATCTGTAAAGTGGAACAGTAATGTTTCTATTTTTATTTCTAATTTTTTTGTTCTCGCAGTAACGCTTACTTTGCTCGGTTCAAATTCGTTTGAAACGATCCGGTCCTATCTGTTGTTTCATTCCTCCAATTAATTTTGTCCATTTTTACAGATAATCGGAGTAGATTTTGTATACTTTATTCAGAAGAATGTTTTGGATAGAGAAAACTGTATCTTGGAAATAGAAGCGTACAACGAGAGCTTTTCCGCAAGGGTCACGGTCATTGAAAAATGCAGATATTTTGTAAGCGCGATAGCCGATAAAAATTAGATTTATATATTACGATCGACGATAAAGAAATACAAATAAATGATACAGATCACTATTGATCACAGTCTGTTACAACTAACATGTTAGGTCGCTTGTAATGCCCTTAATGAATTTGAATTGTTCGCAGGTTCATCCCGAAAATCAAGATTGGACATGCTTCGAGCAAACTGCAAGTTTAGATATAAAGAATTTTTTTGGATTCGAGAATTCAATGGAGAAGTTGGCGATGAAACAGTATGCTCAAAATATTGCGAAGGTATCATGCTGGTAACATGTAGTACATAGTACCTCATAAACAAATTTGAGTTTGTATGATTTAATCGTTTATTCCAGGGCAAAGAGATAATAGAATATTTTATAAATGAACTGAAACAGGAGGGTATAGTGTATGTAGCTCCATGGAAGAATCCAGATCAAGATTCTCTGAAGGAAGATGAGTAAGTGATAAGTTCTAAAATTGTAGAAAAATAATATTTCTAGTGATCATGTGATAACTGATCATTATCCTTTATGTGCAGGGATAATGTTGTTGAAACTCAAGCATCTCACAGTGGAAGCGACACTTATTCGTATACAGAGAAGCTGCAAACCAGAGGCATGTATTCTGTAACATATTGATGCATGAATCATTTAGTAATTTGTAATTGTGCATGAACCACAACGCTTATTTGTGCGCGGTTACTCGTTACTTGAATATAAAGTTGAATTTATCTAGAACGTTTATAATTTTCTATTTATATTCTAGGAATGCAACTTTCTTCAGATTATATAGAAAGATATTTAGGAAAGCTTGATATGATTCAAGAAAGCAAACTCGTTCAATTATCGCAAAGTATAAAAGAGTTGAGGGGAAGCTCTGTACCTGGTGATGCAACGCTTTTAAGGTTTTTGAGAGCAACGGAATTTTCAGTTGATAAGGCAAAAGATATGTTGACACAATCGTTACATTGGCGAAAGAAGCATCAAATTGACAAACTTCTTGAAGAATATGAGCTGCCACAGGTAGTGAAAGATTACTTTCCTGGTGGTTGGCATCATTTTGACAAAGGTATTGAGAGAGCTGTTGTTACTTCTTCATTAACTCAAATCTCACAATATTATTTTTACTTTTATAAGCATAAAACTATAGAATATTGTATGATACAATCAATGTAGATTATATTCTTATCGGTAATCATCTGTGATCATATATGATCATTGAAATATCACTGTGTTAATATCTTAGATGTAAAGGATGTCAATTTCGAACTCAAATGCATTTTGTAATCACTGATTTCTAGATGGACGACCTTTATATATTTTAAGAGTGGGTCAAATGGATGTAAAGGGTTTATTAAAATCTATCGGAGAAGATGATTTATTATTATTAGTAAGTTGAATTTTCATAATTTATACTGCCTGATGGTTTTAAGCCATTTAATAATTTGTATTTATAACATTCATAGGCACTTCATGTTTGTGAAGAAGGCCTTGTTCTTATGGAAGAAGCAACTACCTCTTCTGGTCACCCAATTTCTGAATGGTCTTTACTGTTAGATCTGGAAGGCCTAAATATGCGTCATTTATGGAGACCTGGCATCAAGGTATAAATTATATTAGAAACATGTATGATATCATATCCTTGCTGCTGTGTGCAACATCGGAATAAGTCCTAAAATCCAAGTCTATAGTAAAATTTTTAAAAACATTAGGTAAAATATAAATATGACATTGTTCAGTTGCACAAGATCTATCATATATTTTAGAAATGGTGCTAATTTTTAACCATGTAAGCTATTTATCCATGGAGATTTTGTGGAAATAAGAAATTGTGTATAATAATCATTTTCAGGCATTGCTACGTATTATTGAAATTGTTGAAATAAATTACCCGGAAACTATGGGAAGAGTACTTTTCATGAGAGCTCCTAGATGTTTTCCTATTCTATGGACACTCATTAGTACATTTATAAGTAAAAATCTATTAAGTCTTTTAAAGTCATAGACAATATTTAATGTGTATTAAATTTTGTTAAACGCATCTTAATCTGTATCATTTTATTGTACAGATGAAAATACTAGGAAGAAATTTATATTTTATTGTGGCACCAATTATCCAGAGGAAGGACCGGGCAGTCTTACGGAATATATTAGCCCCGAAATTATACCTGACTTCTTGGGAGGCTCGTGTGAGGTAAGCACAATTACTATTAGCAACGTGTCATTAATATGCAGATTATAATCTCACTATCGTAAATCCTGTAATTTTAGCACTAACGAAAAATGTCTTTTTTATTGTACAATTTTTTCTAAATGAAATATTCTTTATCTTCTTTAATCGAGAAGTAGATGAATACGTATATTTTTAAGAATAATTTTACATTTTATTTCTCTTATCAAGTAGAAATATACGTATACTGTTACACAGATTAAACTGTATGTTGAACAATAATGTATTTTAACGAATAGGACAATATCTACGAGGTTTATGGTATGGTACCTCGAAGATTTTATATTTTCGACGCAACCGCTACTGACGTAAGAATTTTTATGTTTGTTTTATATATGTTGAAAACTGTAGTGACATTATGTGTTTTGTTTCGTTTTGTGACAAAAAAAATCAATAGAAATTTGAGTAAAATAGTAAATACGTACCCTGCTAAGTATTTTACAATAAAATAGTAAAATCAATTTACATAGATCATATAATATTTAAAAGTTATGGAAGCATTGGATGTCATACAATCTCGAATATTATTCCACGTTTTATGAATATTCATTATAGACGTACGAAAAGTATTTTATATTTTTTTATATTCAGTGTAGCACTTCTAATTAAAAAGAAAGACTACTGCTGCATATATAATTTTTCTACAGTATCTTTAACACTGCCTCTTTAACACTTTGCGGTCAGCACCACAGCACTGACATCACAGTGGTACATTAGTTTATATCAACATGCTATAAGAATACAGAGGATATTTTCTACTATACTACTCTGTTAAATAATAATTAAATAACCGGAGTGGTACAATAATAGAGTATTTGCCAGATTTGGTAGTCTGTGATTTTGTTCCCTAAAGCTGGTAAGCTCATGAAAGAAAATCGACTTTCATTCTGTCTAAGAAATAAAGGGAAACAAGAAATTGACTGAGCATCTTAACAAAGGGTCACCTCCAACAGTATATTGAAAAGTGGAAGATGTATGTGTAGCAGTATACAGATAGGGGCTGAGGATATTTTAAAGAAGGGCGTCTTTAAACTGTTATAATTTTAATTCGGTTATTTAATAGTCAGAGTAGTATATATAATAACATAATAACACTGTATATGTCAATATATCATATAGTGTTTACCGATGGAGGCAAATATGCTATGTGACTGGAAAATTCACCAGCACGACTACTCGAAAATTATATATATATATATTATTTATATTATTCCTCCAATGTTGTATTCTTCTGTCATGAATGTAACAATATTTTTTTTTAACTATTAGGTATATATTAACGAAGGAGGACTTGTACCAAAACATCTTTATAAAATGGATTTAGAGAACACCTCCAATGAACAAGAGCAAAGCTTATACCATTCCATCAGTCTAAGTCGAGGACAAATACACCGCATAGTAATACATTCCAATGATCCAGGGTCAGTTTTAACTTGGGACTTCGATGTAATGCGGCATAGTGTGATATTTACTGTATTATATCAAGCTAATGATGATACTAAGCATGTAGCTTCTTCAGGTATCTATATGCAAAAATAATCTATTTTGAATTATAAATTCATTATTATGAATAATTTGCAACTAAATAGCATAAATAAATTTCTGTTTTCAATAATTTAGTGTCCTATCTCTACAGGTTCATCAGAGTTTCTAGTGAATGAAGCCTCTGAAGACATAGAAACGGAAGAAGTTAAAGGACACTTTGTTAAAGTACAACCCAGCATTGTTTGCCATGATGGTGAAAGTATCCAAGTAATTGTTTATATATAGAAGTATTTATTTTGTGTTCTATTGTTATGCTTTGATACTGTCCCTCTATCAAACGATAACACTAGGAATAGAAGTGGACCGAAAATGTACTATATTCTAATACATTCTGTCATAGGGATCTCATATAATGCAAGGGGCAGGAATATATGTATTGCAGTGGTATAATCAAGACGAGTTAGGAGAATTTCTACCATCCATTAGTGGTCATAAAGCGCAATTGATGTACTTTTATGAGACATTGCCATCAGTTCATTACAGGTATTCATATATTTATGTAAAACATACAATGATTTTTTTCAATAAATATAATTACTTTCGTTTTTCTCAATTCCTTAGAGGATCAATGATGAGTTTACAATCTGCAATAAGTGGAAAGTCAGAAGCAAGTTCGGCTTTATCCAGATGACGTGCTGTACATACGACATGGCATTAGTCGACGAATCACGAAAAGGGAAACATAGTGTTTTGTTTGTGATAAATTTAATAATTTATTTGTGAATGATTTCAAATTACAATTCACTGTAGGTTATTTAAATTTTTAGATTTTAGTCTCAATTCTATATTTGCGTCAAGCATATCACTCTTAATATTGTAAGTAGAAAGCACGATATTTTAAATTAAAAGATAAATGTAAAATAAAAACATGTTAAATTTACAAAGAATGTTTTGAAAAAATATAGTAACTAGCTATGCTGATAAATTGTCTGCATTTCTTTCGTTTTCCATTGTATTTTTATACAACTTGTGTAGTTTGTTTTACAAAAGAGATTCGAGATATATGATAATAATTATATAATTTTCAGTGTACCTTTAAATTCAAATAACAGTACAGTGATTTTTTGCCTTTTGCACTGCAACTAAGACCATGAAATATTTAGATATAGATAGGAATGTCGATCTTCGATATTTGATATCAATGTATATCTAATGTTCCCCTCCTGCTTTGAAACTTCGTGAACTCGGAAGATTCAACATGACACTCGAGAATAGTAGAGGCTATTTTGTTTTTTGTCCTCATTGGCTAACGTACATTACTATTTCTCTCTCTCTCGAATACCTGCCGAGTAGAATCACAAAATGGTAGAGATAAAAATGAGACACTAAGGAGGTCGTCAAAAGGTGAAATTATAGGAGAAATACGGAATTTTATTCAGGGGCGTATTCATTGAATGTGGCACAAGAGAGGCCTCTCACTTTGACTAATGACTCTTGGCTTGTTGAACAATATTTTGACCATCAATGTATTTATTCATAGACCGGGCAAAATTGTACTTCATACTTTCTATGGTTAGGTTACATGACAGTTCATAGTGTGCATCATGAATTAAATACTTACACAGTAAAAAACTCCGAGATACAAATGAAGAATAAAATTTAAATAATAAAAATTATTTTCATGCAAGAAGAAAAAATAAAATTGATATTGATGAAACAACGAAGTTGATGTTATGTGGTGACAAGAGGAATAAACAGTAACAATGAGTACTAATGAAAATTGGCAAAATTACAGCGAAAAAAAGTATACAGAATTAAAAACAAAACAGTCTGTTAAAAATAAGATTGAAGATGTGAAAAGCAAGTTGCATATTGGAAAACATCAACGAAAGAAACAAGGTAACAAGTTTCTTCATTATTGACAGTACAAGTATTACCAATTTATCAATTAAGTACAAGATCGTAAATATATTTTTATGCGATTGTCATTATTTAAAGAAAGTAATGGATAATCTTCAGCTATTATTAATTTGTAATGCTATATGTAAATTTACTAATATATTTATTGTTTTTATTATATATATGATTAATTGTTATGTACATACTTCTCTGTGTTCTTCTTTCATATTTAAAATCTTTTCTTTCCTTCCAACATTTTTCAATTTCAATTTAATTTTAGTATTTCCATTATATTTTCAGGCGTACCTCTTATACAATTTTTGCAAACTGAATTAACACGAGGATATCAATTGGAATATGACGAGGAAAGATTTTCTGCAAGGAGGGAAAAAATTTATTCTTTCATGAAAATTCCTAGAGAAGTTGAAAAATTTATGGCCTATGGATTTCTACAAGTAAGAATAATATCTTAAACATCAATTTCTCATTCTATATTCAAATTCTTATTGACATTCCGTATTGTCTCAAGTTTGATACTACATATTATTTTGTATTAATTAATATACTTGAGTGTAGTTATTAGTGTGAAAAATGATTTATATTTTCTTCTACAGTGTGCAGACTCCTTTTTGTTTGTTTACACATTTTTACCATTACGATTTACAATGGCCTTATGGACGGTAATCACAAGACTTCTATGGCAATGCTTTGGGTAAGTTTACGACATGTTATACATTATTAAAAATGAATTATATCTATAATAATAAATTTCAAAAATAATGAAATTAATGGACAACAAGTTTGTTTTCAAATAAACCTGTGTAAAACAAAATTATTTTAAATCTAGCAAGAAAAGAGATAATTTAAGAGTTGGAGAGAGACGTCTGAGACCAGCAGAGATTTGCGATCTTTTAAAAGGGTTTCTAGTAATTTGCTGTTGGGTAGTTACTTGGAAAGTTGATACTTCCATGATGTATCATTTAGTAAAGAGTCAATCAGTAATAAAATTATATATATTTTATAACATGCTGGAAGTTGGTGACCGATTGTTTAGTGCCTTTGGTCAGGATACAATAGATGCTCTTTTATGGACTGCTACAGAGCCTGGATCAAAAACGCAAACAGGATCTCAACATTTGGGTACTCTACCACATTTACTGTTTGCTGTTACTTATGTTTGTATCCTTTATATATGTACAAAGAACTTTGCCAGTTATTTTTACACATTCGTGGTTTATTACAGTTAATAAAATGTTACACTTTCTATAGTTAATTTTCCTAAACATTGTTTCTATAGTATTGCATAGCATATTGGTGCTCTTCCAAGCAACCACTCTTAATGTAGCAATTAACAGCAGCAATAAAGCACTACTTACTATAATGATGTCAAATAATGTAAGTAACTGTTAGTAGTAAATATTTCATAAAATTTTTGTACAATATATAATTTACATAATATACACCCTTTATTTCAGTTCGTTGAATTAAAAGGTTCTGTCTTTAAAAAATTCGATAAGAATAATCTATTTCAACTATCTTGCGCGGATATAAGAGAACGTTTTCATTTAATGATGCTTCTTTTTGCTGTTACTCTTCAAACATTGAAAGAGTATGCTTGGAAATCAGAACGTCTTGCAGTACTCTTACCAGATTGTATTATGTTACTGTTAGCAGAAGTTCTTGTTGATTGGGTATGCATCAATATCTTCACAATTTTAGAACATTTATGTCTCAAGTAGTTTGTTCAATATACGAATAACTGATCTATTATTTTCTAATATTTCAGGTAAAACACGCGTTTATAACTCGTTTCAACGAACTTCCTTCCACTGTATACAGGGACTATACAATAAGCTTAGCTTACGACATGGCTCAACCTCGTCAAGAAACTGCATTTTCTGATCCCTCAGACTTGGTAGCTCGCAGAATGGGTTTTATTCCTCTTCCCCTAGGTGTTGCAATAGGAAGGGTACTTTCTACGACAATCACGCCTTCCCCAAAGGCAGCGAACATCATTTTATTACTTCTGGCTTATCTAGTTTTGATAGCCTTTAGAATTCTAATCAGTTTGATCATCCTTGGCAAAGCATGCGATATTATTTCCTCACATTCAGAGGAATCCGATGTTGTGGTTGCATCTTTAAAGGATTGCTCTGGAAGTAACCCTGAGTCGAAAAGCACAAATATAGCGACCGCAATGTTTTCTAATAGCTCAATTAGCTTAAACAATGTTTGCTTAAATGAAGCAATGCTTACAGAAGAAATATTAGAAAATACTGAGAAAATTAACAAAGGAACAATTTAGTAAATATTATTGTCTTCGTCATTTCCAAAGAAACATTCTTAAATGCAAAATCAAATGATCTTACTGACACTTTTGCAGGAAAGACCTGTATAAATGTAAGTATTGTCTATTCAGAACTGTGATATAATAAGTATCTTACATTTACAGGAATAATTATTTTAGCAACCTTTGTTAAAAGGACAGAATTCGAGTGCATATTTTATTATGACTATACCGATTGGTAATATATTGATATATAGTAATATATTGATTATTTGTGGGTTGCATAGAAAATTTGTACTTTATTATAGAATTATTACTAAAACAAAGGAGTGTGTGGTTAAAGTAATTACGTGTTGAGCTATGCCATAATAAATTAAAGTAATTGGGGCTATTTTAATTTAGCTAGTTCAATTTTATTTTTATGCTGCTTAAATATAAGTAAAAAGTATATGGTGCATAAAATGAAAAAGTAATTTATATACTAGTGAAAAGGTTGTAATAAAATTTAAAAGAGGTTGAGTGAATAAAGAAAGTTAATATACCCATGTTCAGAAACATTGATTGTAAGCATACTACTGGTGTTTATGTTAATTTATAAAATTGAAACTCTGTTGCACATTATTAATATTTCCATTTTACCTTGTGTTACAGATTTATGTACTCTATACATGCGTAGAATTCACCATATAATAAGCAAATAATAATTTATTGATAGAATTGTTTTTTGCCTGTTAAAACTCTAGAAGAAATTATTCATTTTTATTGAACAACAAATATTTCGATATTTTAGATGCTTTGATTGTTTTGAGTTCAATTATACTTTATAATTATAATAGTTATTTCGTGAACATGAAATTTTAGATTTTTGTTACAAAAGTATACAATAAGTATAGTATAACTGTTAGTCGTTTCTTCATAAATTAGAGACTCATTTTTAACATTATAACATTACATAAAAATTAGGCCTCATGATTAATTTTCAAATAAAACATTTTCGAACATAGGTCTATATAAACTTTTCTATTACTATAAATTTAATCAAATTTTATTTGTACCAATAAAATTCCACTGATATAAATTTTATACAAACTTTTTCAGTTACTCTGTATATACAATACATATATAGATGTTTCATGGTGCATGCCCAGTTAAAATATTGTCTATTTTATTCTTTTGTTTAACAAAGTATACAATGTAAATACATTGTAAATATGGGATATATCACTTAACTATATCACATAAAATATTTTTTACATCTTCAACAATTTACTTTTATGTACAAAGACAGCATAATCTTTACTTTTTTGTAATATCCTTGGCCAGAGTGAAAATATTTTCATTTTAGTACATGTAGAATAGTAATAAAGAAATATTTATGATAAAAGGAATATATCAAATGATAAAGTTAAGTGAAACACCTTGTGTATATAGATTCTGTATATACATCAAATCTGTGTCAGAAACAATTTTAGAGGCAATGATGTTGAATGCTTAATAATGTCCATTACAGATTAAATATACTGAGCAACATTGTAATATATTTTTAATCTCTAAATAAAGATATAAAAATGATGAGTATTTATGGTTATTATGTAAATAATCGCCAGGTAAAGACATTAACAAAACTAAAAAGTAAATGGTAAAATTACCTTTTTAATGGTAAAGATAGTTGAAAATAATTCATTACTGTACATAATTGGAACATGTAAATGTTAGAACATTCACAGTTTGGTATTACATTATCATGAACACTTTTAAAGGGTGTAGCATGATAAGAGGGTCAAAAATACTCTTAAACCGATTTTACCCGTAAAAGTTACGTTCGATAGCTTACCTATAAAAAGCATTGTACACCAATTTTCAACCTTTTATCTCAACCAGAAGAGCAGTTACAGAATAAATTCGAATTATCAAGTTTTGTCCTATTTTCCCTATTTCATGGTACGTAAAAATTCTGAAAAAATTCTGAGACATTTTTGGCACAGCAACATATGACTGAGAATTTTTTCTTTGCAAATCCTTAACGTGAAAAATGTGAAACCTTCAAAGATATTAAAAAATGTAGATTTCGTATTGAAGCTTTCGAGCGACAACTTTTTCATTTTTACAATAGTAACATATTAGTATGAATCATTTCTAATTTTTTTCAGATTTCTTGGCCTGCTGCGCCATAGTTAACAAAATGGAAAACTAATTTTTTTAAAGTCAAGTTATTGTAGTTAATCGAAAACGAATATGTGTCATCTACCAAAATTTCATCAATGTTTTCATCGATGCGTTTGACGAAGCTTTACATTATCCGGCTGCGGAACGGCTGGACGTTTTTTTGTCGTAGAATTGTTCGCGCCCCACAGGATACTTACAGGAAATGAACACCTTGAAAGAATAAGAAAAATAAAGGCATTAACCAAGATGTTTATTCTTTTAAACTAAAGAATAAACGTCTTGTTATTTCTCAGAATTTCAAAATGATTTCTATTGGAGTTTTAATGGATAAGATGGTATGCTATATATTATTATAATTACAATATATTCCGTTAAAAACGATTGTTTTAGAATCATGGCGTTGCTCACAATTAATTTAAACAATCAAGGTTGTAGCTTGAGATCCTTTTCTTTATTCTAAAAGTATGTTTTTGTATGCTTGATTCCAATTGTTATTACAGAATTATGTTCAAAGAATTCGTTCATAAAAGAGAAGGTAAGCTTGACTTCGCAGAACGGTTGTTTCATCGACCTCTGTTACTCTGTAAGAGAAATTTCATGTAAATTTTTATTTATGTATACTGGAATTGAACATTATTTAATTAGTTATCTTAATTCATTCAATCAAGTATATTTTTTCTTAATACAGTTGCAGATACACTATTGGATAGAATTTTAGGATGTCTTAACATTTAGAATACGAAATTTCTGTAAATATTAACAGTTTATTTACAAACGGCTTTAGTAGCATAACGATCTAGTAAAACTCGATAGAATAAAACATCAAATGCTCAATATAATTTCTACTGTTAAAGCTTGTACTAATACATTATGCAAATTTCAACTAATATAATTGTAGTTAGTAAATATATTTATCACTGAGTTTGTTTTTATATTGTGTTATCATGTGAGTGACCTGAACAGTTCAATATCAGAGAGTACATACCTAGAATCGGAGACATAATACCATTTTCCTGGCGGTGGTTCCACTGTAGTTGGGAGACTGGCAGCTGCTTCTTCACTCTCAGAATCTGAATTTGAAGATAATGTTCCTTCAGTCTTTTGAGTATCCTTAGACGATAGAAACGACCATCGGGGATCATCCGATGTTAATGGTGCACGCGACTGCAAAAACAACACTCGTTCAAACATAAATAAAACCGATCTCCCTTAAAGGACTGTAAACGTGAATATAATGCAGGTAACATTAACATTAGTAAGTATTATAGTATAGTTAGATACAAAAATATTTTATTCGGTTAATGAAAAATTAAAAAATAATTAAAAGATAATAGAAAGTATATTATAGAAATCCCAAATAAAATTTAATAAATAAAAGGGGACTGACATTATACATTATACATTTTTACCTTCACATAAGCAACGTAATGTCCACCACGAATAGTTCCACTATGTTCAACAACTCCATATAATGCATACACTTTAGCTTTTTTGTGATTTTTAGACACAGGTGCTAGATCGAGTATTACTGGAAATGAAACAGGCCTCGTTGCTTTTCGAAAATCTAGTCGTTGTGCTTGAAATCGTTTCAGATGAAGTATCAAAACTGCAGGTACTCGAGATATCAGGTACTGCTTTGTACTAGGTGTACGTATCATTTTGCAGTTTTCTTTGATCTGAAACAATAGAATGCATTTCTTAAATATTTAAAACGTGCGACGAATTGATAAATGTCAATTTGTGAAACTAAAAATTCACTTTTATTATAAAGTGAGGTACAAAAAATATTTATAAAAAACTGAAATTCATTTTTGGAAAACATTGTGAACTTATCTAATAATATTTCCGACTGCACTTTACAACTGTTGGTGAACCTCTTCGAGTGATCAAGTAATAAAAATCAATATAAAAACTGTTTGAATTGATAGATGAAGTCAATATACCTTCCTCTCCCTTGCAGTACAAACTTCACAGTTAATTTTATTACTATCACTCATCAATTCTAAGGCAGTAAACTGGTTTAAACAGGATTGTATAGAACATTCTCCTTCCTTGGTTGTATATCTGGTAGGTGATGTGTGATTGCCAAGACCCATTTTCGAAATCCCATGAGATATACCATTGATTCCATTACAAACCTCATTTGAATATTCTACAGTTTTCTTTCTTCCTTCGCTGTTGCTAAAAAAAAATCATTTTTTCGTAATTAATTTTATAAATATACATATTTCCGTAAAAGCATTCTTCAACTTTTTATTAATACTTTTAAAAATAAATGTCTCTTAAAAAACGAAATAAATACCATTGATTCTGAGTAGCACCCTCCTGTTGATTGTGAGCAATAGGTTCCACTGAATTTAATCTAGATATTGGTGTATCGCTATTTTCCAAAGTTTTTTCGCTACTTTCAGAAACAAAACTAGGACTACCAGGACTTTCCTTCGACGTAGTCGAACTCAAACTGACAGTCAATCCTTCTGGACTGGTTAATTCTGAGTTCGCCGTTATACAATTGGACACGAAACATTCAGTCTGAATTCCAACTTTATTCCCTGAAGTCTCAAACTTAAATAACTCCGTGTCGTAGAAATCAACTATTCTTCGACGTGATCTGAAAAGGTAAATGAATCGTTGAATTAAGAATAATTACTTAAAGAAAACACCGATTTCTTTTCAACACCGTTTGATTATTGGAACGAATTGTAAATCTGCTGGCCCTCCATTGGTTGTTTCATCAGTTTTCACTGGATCAATTAAAGGAGAAGCAGGACTAGCTAAAGTGGATTGTTTTTCTGAGCTATAACCAAATCCGTTGGTTTCTGGAAAAAAGGTTTCTATTTCTACATTGTCTTCTACATCTGCATCACTTTCTTCTGTAAATTGAATTAAACAAAGCGAATTAAGTTTTCCATCAGACCAAAAACAGAAATGAAATGAATGAATATGAAATTAAAAATGATATTAGCCACACTATACCTGATTCATTCATGCTGACATTATTTTCTTCAACAACATTGCTTCTATTACGTGTATCATTGTTATAGTTACAAATTTCTTCCTTTCTATTTCTTTGCGCAGCTTTCTTTTCTTTCTTTAATTGGTATTTTGAAGGCGTATGAGAAACATTATTTCTCGGTATGTCAAAGGAATCTTCGTAACCACTGTTCTTCCTTCTTAAATAAAAACGAATGCAATAAAATTATCCGATTTCATGATAAATATTATATCATTTACTAAAAGTACATTTACTACAGTAGAACTGTACAACTTTATGAATTTAATATTGTTAATTGATATAACTGATATTTGAATGAAAGCTTCATACTTCAAAATTGGTGGCTGTGGTTTGTCTGCTAGTATTGGCAAGCTGAGATCTAGGAAAGGCTCTATACTCTGCAAAGTATGATGGCAGTCAAGACATTTCAAAGTAGAAACCAAAATTCCACCAAAAACATCTTCTGCTCCTAGTGATCTTGCGCTTGCCTGATTTCCATAGAATTTTATGCAGGACCTCAAACTCTTTTCTACTTCTTCTGGATTCGTTTTTTGATTTAAACCAATTTGTTTTAAAATTGCTACCTGGTATCTCTAAATGTTATAGAGAAGTTAGAAACAAACTAAATTTTATATTATAATGAAGAAAGACTAACAAGCTAATGTATTAAAATATGCAATAATCGCCAATTTTGTGAAGAAATCAAGTTTTGATTAAGTCTAATATTTTTGTAATAAAAAATATCTTACCCTAAGATCCTCGTTTCTAACTAATTCTAAAAGATGCCTAAGAAGTTCATGTGAATCATGTTGTCCCCCATCCATACATTGCATTGTTTTCTTTTTGTACGCGTTTAACAGATCTGATGGACAATAACATTTATGTCCATCCGAATTTTGCATATCGATTAATGTTGTGTGCAAAACTGAAGTAAAGTTGCCCCAACTTTCCAAAGTACCCTCTATAGGTGGCTAAAACAATTATATTTTTTTAATATGCTATTTATACATTTAAATAGACAAGTATTTTCTTTTCATAATAGTAAAAAATGTCTAAGAATTATTCAGACTTACTAATTCAACTTCTTCTGAACTGTCAGCAAGCTTATGTTTCCCACCCGGTAGAACAAACTTTTGTCCAGGAAGACGTAAATCATTAAGAACCTCCGCTAAAAAGGGTGTTTGCGCTAAGCATTGTAGAACTGCGTTGAAAAAACAAGTGTTTCCCATATTCATTAAACCCTGAGAAAATAAAAATAAATTACATATACTCAAATAATTAAATAACATAATAAAGAACCATTATTATGAAACATATATACCCCAACTTTAGGAAGATTATTTGAAATTTTATCTTTCTGTACATCTATATCTACAATCTCTTTTTGAAAATGAGATACTGTTGAGTTAGTCTGCGGCGAATTACATTTTGTGCTAGCACGTTTTATAAATCCAACCGTCTCTTGCAATTTTTTCCTACAAATTTAAAATACATGGTCTGGTCTCATATAAATCATATATAAACAATAACGTATGTACAAAATATTATCAATAACTATACTTTCAGAAATGATTGCCTATGTTCCTTTTCATGCATACCTATAGCTAATATTAATTTCTGTATCACATTCATAACACCAAACACTCCAAGAAGAAGTGTCTACAGCAATACAATGACAATCACTATGTGGTTTCTTATAATGTTGCAAAGCATGTCCAAATTCTTCTTTTTTACAACCATGATGACCGCATAACAAACAGATTAATATTGTTGAAGTTGCTTTACAATCCTAGAATCATCAATATCCATGTAAAAATATCAGTAACTAATATTAAAATAAAATTCTTACTTAATTCGCTATACAATTACCTCCTCATCCACTTTCAAGGAATTATTTTTACTTTTTTTGCAAACTGAACATTCTGAACTAATTTCCTTTTTGATAAATTTTTTAACTTTGCTGAAGTTTACAGCTTTTGAAATATGTGGGCATCTGTCATCTGTGGAAAAAGCAAATGTAACATAAGTACATAGTATAAATGAAATTATTAATAGAAAAGACTTATTTTATCCAACAATTTAAACAAGAATAATAAAGCAAAAGGAATTAAATATTACAAACATATACACTTCTTTGATATAATCTTCTGTATGCACATTTTTTAGAAACATTTAAATCAATAATACTTTAAATTTAAATAATTTAATTTTGTCACATGGCACACAGTATGAATTTTAAAATAGAAACAATATAAATATTAAAATATTTGGTTGATCAGTGGCTATGTATCATTTAATCGACTAAAATATATTCTTCCATCTATATCCTATAAAAAATCGTAATTTCCATAAAAGGGTCTACTTCTTAACAATAAAAAGATTTCCTAACCTGTAGTGCTAGATTCATCGCATGAATCAGTCGAACCTTCAATCAGTTCTTCGTTTGCATCTGGTTGTCGAGTACGTTTTTTACTCATTGTAATTATTTCCAAATTACATTGAACCCAACTCTTACAATTCTTTTCTCTTTCTTATTTTTCACCAAGGGCTAAGTAAACAAAAGGAGGATGTAAACCTGGTTATTTAAAGTACACCAAAAAAATCTACGAGTTGATTAAAATGATATTTCGAGCGTAACATGTATGTTATGTTACTGTATTTTTATCCACTACCTTTGAAAGTGTCTTGGAAAACTATAAAATTCCATAATAAATAGTAAAAATAACCTAAAGAAAGTAATATTTTAAAAAATTACTGTAAAAATTATTATTCCTTGTAGAATTGATGCTCTGTAACGTTAGTCACAAACGCAGTCGCAAACCATCGAAATTGTGAACACAGACTCAAGATATGTACAGACTGTGCATACAATGTATTTTTCTGTCTACTGTTCTGAAATACCGACACCACTAAAAATGCCCCGACACGTTAGCGGACTCTATCGTCTGTGCTATATAAGACTGAAAATGAGTTTATTGTCACTTGTTCCGCTTACAATTAAAAAGGGCAACGTTCTTCACTGTTAAAGTTCCACGATCTACTTTAATACGTAAACCCAGATAAAATAACTGCACTTTTTCGTTAAACAATTTTTTCCAATTTTATCGTACTCTCTTATAGCTTCAATTATGTCATAATATGTTACCTTTAAATTCCTAGAAATATTTTGATTTCCATTTTCTTTTATTTAGAAATATTTTTATATTCTATAACAGTCAGAACATTAAACAAATTGGTCACCTAATATATTCTTCATAGAAACCAAGAATGGAATCGAAAATATTTCTGTATCACTGTTAATTAGAGCTTTTCAAAGCTTTAATACCATTTTAGTGTCGTTTCCAACATTACCGATATACATGAAATACGACCATAGAGTTTTTAATGGTAAGAGTTAGAATGAAATCTATCACACCACTTGTTCCAATAGCGTGGGAAATTTGAAGTCTATCCAAGTATATCCAAAAATAAAAAAAAAAGAAGGAAAATATTAGTAACATTTCTGTACAACACAAAAATTAGGTAATATTTAATATTATGCTAATGACTCTATTCAACAATAATACGATTTTCAATGTTAAATATTGATGTAATAGTCACGCGACAGTAATTAACCTTAATTACAGTGAAATTCCGAACGAGTCATTAGTCTTAAGAACTTAATTACATATTTTGGGTAGATTTTGGGATAAGCGTTCCAGTACATCAAAAACTAATCAGATTAATATCAAAGGACACAGAAATAAGATAACACCAATATACAATTCCAAAAAAAAGAATGATTTATTAAACAATTATTCTAATACCATAATATAAAAATTTCGATTCAATTACGAATTGCCTTCCAAATAAAATTTATACATTTTCACGAACAAACATTACGTAAACAAATGTCTTTTCACTGAAATTTCCATTTCGAACATTTAAATATACCATCGCAACCCCTTACCTTACCATTGCTTTCATAACGGCAAAAATGACTTTATCATTAATAATTTACCAGAAACAAACGGGAACTCCGCACCCGTCTACATCCGTTTATTTTAATATACAATAATCGACGATAGAAATATAATATTTACTTTGAACTGAAACGAACCGGGATGTATTCATTTTCGTATATTTCAATTTGAGATCTTCCTCGCGAGTCTGACACGATATCGTATGGCAAGGGGTTAAACGAACAGTGGCTGTATTAGTGCGCGGATGTATTCATAGTTTATCTGACTCGTGGCTATCGGTGCACGTGACGACATTGCACGGAGAGCGTATTCGATGATGGTGGGAGTAATGACGTCGCAGCTCTCATTCGCTCCATTCACTGGCCGGCCGCCGTCGCGACTAGTCGTAACGAATCTGTCCTGCTTTCTTCTGAACATCGATACCGTTCCAGGATCTAACGGAATATCCCGGAAGTGCGCTTTGGGCTCACCTCTCTTTCGCCAGAGCGGACACATTTTTCATCGTGCGACCCGAGATTCGCCTAGACTCGCCGTTTCTCACTTTGGGTGATCGATACCGATCGTTGTGCTCCCTGATCGATACCTAGAATGTATTTGTGAAAGCTACCTCGCTTCGCGGTCTCTGTCTTTCTTCTCGTCGTATTTACCTACCGTGCTTATGCGTGTATGCGTGCCCGTGCGCACATGCACGTATGATTTGTGTACATAGTAGTGTTTGTTCGGATTCGAGAAGGTCTTTGGACGCGAAAGGATACGATCGATTGCGATTAGTGAAACGAGATATGACCGTCGCCGGAAAGGTGAGTTCTTTTTAACAATACTTGAGACTTCTACGCTAAGCACGGGAGAATGAGGTTAAGTACAACTGCATTTATACTTTCGTCAAACAACCTACTACTCCCACCTTGCTTAATGTCTCGGTAATCCTTTTAAACGAATACTCGTTTAATCGTGATACGGTCCTCGGACTTTTTTTTTCTCTCTACGTTCGATGTGTTCCTTAAGGATATGTGTAGGATGTACAGTATGGTTACGATTTCCTTGCTCTCGAATTTGAAAACATCCCTGACCAAAGGGACACGCGAATAGATTGGAAAAGTACGAACAAATTGGCAGCGAGAAAACGAAAACGCGATTCGGTCAAATATTGTTCTTTTCTTGTTCTATGATTCGGAATTAGTGAATTAATGGTAATAGGAAATCGACTGAATTGTGTTACAGATTTATATGTGAAAATAGAAGTTGTGTTAGACACTTCCATTAAAGAAGTTAAGATTCTACGTGTATAACGGTTATAAACAATTATTCTAGTAAATAAAAGGTTTCTTATCTAAATGTCTGTAAATATATAAATGCATGTTAATAAATAATGGATTTTTTAAGAATTTGTTAAGACAATCAAGATCACGTATACTTCGATTTCGAAGTTTCACATAGTTGCGTGTCGGTGAAAATAGTTGATACGAGGAATATTTCGTTTTCAAATTAATAACACGTTAGTTTTTAGAGATTATATTAAATAATAGTCTCGTAACCGGATGTCGCACACGTACCTTGTGTTATTTCGAAAGATTCATTAGAAATGACTTTTTTACGTAGCAACTTTCGTGTTCTCCATGACGACTCGTACTTGTACAAACGCGTAAAAACATTTTAACAGTTACCGAAGTAATTTAAATATCGACAGATTTTAGATACCGAATTTTTTATTAATTTAAATGTGCAAAACATCATTAGGAAAAGGAAGGATTAATATAAATGAACGTGTTGGGACACCGACGTAAACGAGGAAAAATATTTTGCATGCCTAAAGACTTCTATTGTTCCAACCGTAACCAGTTAAATAACTGACTACGAAAGAAAGGTAAACAAGTTAGGTCATAAATGTTTTGTAATGGAAATAAGAACAAAAGCTGAAAAACTTATTAATAGGACAATGTAGGAATCGATGCAAAGTTAGAAGAACAAAAAAGACACAATATTAAATCAAATTTTAAATTGATGATTTTAAATGTCATTTGACCGATTCGCAGTGGGGTTAGTTTTAATTCCTCTATTTTGTAAAGCAATTTTTCTCATTTTTCGTAAACACCAGTGTCATTGTCAGTAAACAAGCAACAATTTATGTGGATTTACCACCTGCTGCACTTGAATGACACCTGCTTTTTTTCTGTTCATTTACTTACCTAGCAGTACTTTGACCAGTCTTACTAATGATCACAATTTTGGACCAAACATGAACATTACGAGTGAGATAACGGCCGTTACAATTATAGCCCGGTTAAACGGAAGTGCAAGGGGTTAAATGCGTACTAGTAAATAAAAGTAAAACTGTTTATGAATTTATTTATTCAAGCATCCCGAATTATAATGATATTCTGAGAAGAAATCTGCACAATAAAATTGACGTTTATCCAAACGGAATTAGCTGGCACATCTAATGCGTTACAAAGTTTAAACAATTTAATTTTTCCGCTGGAGAAAGTTGATAACAAACTTTCTTAAAGGAATTTGTAACTTCCGGTCGAGAATCGTCGTTCTTAAAACTTTCTCCATTAAAATCGACCACGCTCCTCTGAAAAGTGTGTCGTTTACACGTTAAATGCACTCTCCTCGTATCGATATTTCATCTATTAGGTAGAAATATCGATTAGTAAAATTCATCCCATTCGTTTCATTTTGCAAATCACTTTTACACGAATTGTTCTTGACCCCTATATTTACAGCGCGGACATTATTGCATAGTTACTTTTAAGTACCTGTGTACATTATATATAACCTTCTACAGCACTATAAAAACGGAACTTCAAGCTCTAAAAGTAAAATAGTCAAAAAGTTACATTCCTTCCTAGCCCATTTTCGCTTCGTGCACTTCGCGACTACCATTTTCCTAATTCAACCGTATTCAACAGAAATGCAAAGAACTTCTAGAAAGAATCCAGCACAGATTCCTAAATGTAACTATATGTATCTCCATATTGTGTAATCATCACGCTTCAAACTTCGTAGAATCATTAAAAATATTTCCATCCATAAAGATTCATCTCTTAAATAATTTCGTCCGAATAAAGAGACACACGCGAAAGTGTTGAAAGTATCACTTTACATTTTAAATAATTTCTACCTCTAAATGACAAACGAACATGAAAGGTGTGTGGCAATCGGTGTCGATAAGGTAACTATCTACCTGGTCTAGCATAATTAAAATACGCCAGTAAGAAATTGGCCAACTATCTGCAAGCTAAAATTGCATAGAGGCAAGGGAAATTGTTGCTTGCTCTTTCTACCTGTTCCAAAGGTGTGTTTTCTTGTGTGTACACGTCGCGCCGTTGATTTACGATTTATACTTCATTCGTCGTAATTCTTTACACGATTTGTGGCGCCACCAAGAGGTGACTCGCCGAATCCGATCTCTGCCGCCTTTTACGAAACAAACAAGCCCCAATGCCGATTCCCGCTTGTTTTACAGGAAACTAGGAAATCCCTTATTATAACTCCCATCTTTTCGGAAACAAAAGTTCTCGTTCTCGTTCGAGAAAGTATCCGTTTTATGAAAGAAAAGCCCTCGGAGGTAGTCCGCTCCTGACCGTGTGTTTTGGTGGGGAGCCTACTGCGACAACAGAACGTCGGGGCGCGCCTGCAACGTTGTCACATTCTGAGAGAGAATATGGTGTCCTTTTCCCTCATCTAGAGTGGTACTCTCTCGGCGGGTCGGTAAAGCAGGTTTCTCGTTTTTCAAAGATAGTTTGCGCCAGTGTTTCCCAACCTTTTTGTATCATGCCCCAGTCTTTCTAAAATTCTTATGTGCCCCTATGTAACATATATATAATTTTTAATATTTATTATAATATTTTTATAATATTTGTTATGATATTTTTATAATATTTATTATATTTTTGCTATTTTGTTTACGTGTGTAAACATTGCGAAATATACGGTGATATTTCAAATTTCAAATTGCCCCCCTATGGGGTGACAGCCCCACGTTGGGAAACACTGGTTTACGCTATGGCGTTTAGAAGTTTCAACGATATTTTTTATCTCGGAGGATATTAGCACGTTGAATGTCATGGGGGTCACCGGTGACCCCAACCAAATCGAATTGTAGTTCACTCAATTAAACGATGACATTCAGGTAGATCAACGTGCAATTAATAATGCAATTCAATCAAATGATTGAACATCGTATTTTTTCCATTTCTTGTATTAATGAAATTAATACAATATACCTCTTTGTATAGTAACACCGCGATACGTTCCACGTAAAAAATCGATCGATTACTGTCATTAGCAGGATATAAAAGTATTCATGGTTTTCTATGTAGTAAGATTATAATATAGATCATAATATAAATTTAATTAATAAACATACACCGGTATGAAAAATTAAGGGATCAATATTTTCTATGAAAAATTGCGGATATTCGTGTAACTTTCTAAAAAGGAATTGTAGATCTTTGTCGAGACAAAAGTTGTCAGAATCTTTGTATTTATCTTTAAATATCTTTCTATAGTTTTACGTGTAAGTTTCCTTTCACTTTTAGCGTAAACGAACCCGAATTCGTCAACGAGTCTCCGTTGTAACGCTACCGTGTGAATCGAATAGGCGTAGTATGGCGGCAATGCCGTGTGAAGATGGCGTCCCGTTATCAACGTTCATGATTAGGAGGGAAATACGAACAATTTAGCGAGAACATAGACGGAGTGTATTATCATAAAACACTCGACGCGGGCGGCCGAGCTGAGAGGAAGTTGGAAGCCAGAGAAGAGAAACCGTTTCACCCGTAACTTCTAAGGATTTCTTTGTTACAGACTACATCTGAATTATTATCTTCAGCTAGAATCACTTTTGGCCCTCACCGCGGCGAATTCGATACATTGTAAGGAGCCGTAAATTCTCTTCAAAAGGTTGACACATTCGCTTGCACGTGTTACATTCGGTCCTCACTGCGGCGAATTCAATACATTGTTATTTGTCGACGCGTTCGCTTTTTGTTTCTCTGGGTTCCGCGCTTTCTCTCGGCACATACGCATGGAGTTCCCGCGCATTAACCGGATATCCCCCACCCCCACGGGCCTGCTCCGGACGGGACTCGGAAGGAGAAAACAGGACCAACGAAGAGGGGATGCGAGGCGACAACGAACGAGATTTAAACAAAAATCAGAACGATTTCGAGCCTCGAACGACTAACCCACTTGTAAACTCAGAAATAAAATAGAAATCGTAACGGTCACAAACCAAAACTATTAGATTTATTTCACGCGTCGCGGGCAGAGTACCCTTCGCGCTCCATGGGCACCTTACCTACGTTAAATTTCCTTAACACGTTGACACTCATTTTGAAATCGGTGAGTGCTTCCAAAAACACACTTCTCTTTTTTTGTCAATTGGTTCTTTGGGAGTTGGATCAAGATTTCATGCTTACAGATTATAATTATTGTATTTTTTAATAAATTTTCCTAAAAAAAAAGGTAGACGTCTGTAGCCGTCATTTGTTTTTCACAGCCACGCCATGGACGTCTATAGACGTTATTTACGTCAACGTGTTAAATTTCCTTAAAATTACCCTAACCGGGAAATGGGAATTGGGATGGAGTTCACGCAGGCAGTTCGCCGTCGATTAGTCGACGACGCGCGAATACGTGGCAACACCGCAAAACGTTGGGTTCACCTCTAAGGGCTTTTTTTTCATAAAACAGACCATAGTCTAAGAGTATTGGAGCGATGTAAGACTAAAAACAAATAAAAAATAATCAATTGTAACATTAGTGGTAGCCCATTGCGATTACCTATAGTAAATGTTTTGTATGATAAAAAAATGTATTGAAATCCGAGTAATTATTTTTAATTTAATTTACAGAGATTTGTGGACTGTACCGTTTTGGAAACTGGCAACATTACCGACGCAGTAGATTCTTCCTATGATAGCGATTACGAAGTCGAAGATTTAATTTCGTCCAATAATGCGAATTCGCAATTAGAACTGCAGGTAATTATTATCGCTAACGCGATAAAGAGAAAATTCGATTTTAAATTATTGTAACCACTGGTAAATTCAATAATTTCTTAATGACGAAAAAGATAAGTGTAGAGAGATCTGAAAAAATTTGATTTTTGTTCGATTAAGAATAATGAAAAATAAAAATGGGAATGGGAAAATTAAATTCCCGTTATTTTGAAATTTGTATTTCATTTTCTATTTTAGGTGACTACACCAACCCATTCAGATGTATCAAGAACATTCTCTGATACTCTAGCTGCTGAATTTGCAGAATATATTACAATTCAAGGAAGTCCACCTAATCAAAATCCAGGTATAATACTAAAGTACTTGTAAAATTTACTACTGGAAAAAGTATATAATTATAATACATATTTTAAAATTTTCAGATAGTGATTATGTATATAAGAATGTACATAAGAAATTTAGATAGACTTCATTATTGTAGCAGAGAGTGTATGTATGTGTGTGAGAAGATGTGTGTGAAGATTGCATGATGCTTACAGGATGTCTTTTGTTTTTATTAAAAATAAAACCAACCTGTTCATTTTTTTAGGGTATACAGCTAGAGTAGAGTTTGCACTGAAACTTGGATATACAGAACATTTGGTTCAGATGGCATTACAGAAACTGGGCCCTGATCCAGAACAAAATGAACTTTTAGCTGAGCTGATAAAACTTGGTGCAAGTTGTTCAGTAAAGTCAGAAGAAGGGCCAGAGGAATCGGAGAACGCGTCAGAGAAAGATTCAGCAAGTAATGAAAATACTGCTGGATGTTCTACTAGGCTTAGGCCTGTTGTGATCGATGGAAGCAATGTAGCCATGAGTCATGGAAACAAAGAAGTATTTTCATGTAGGGGAATAAAAATTTGTGTGGATTGGTTCAAAGCAAAAGGACACAAAGAAATTACCGTATTTGTACCAAAATGGAGAAAAGAGGCCTCTAAAATTGATAATCCGATCGCTGATCAAGAAATCCTCGGAGAGCTGGAACGAGATCGTTTATTAGTTTTCACGCCATCTAGGTTGGTATATACTATTATCTAATTATATAATATATTTATTATTTGAGTGTATAATATATTATACATGTATGTCAAAATATTCTTGATGAGAAGCTCTTAATTTTTGGTTTCAGATTAGTTGGTGGTAAGCGAATGGTTTGTTATGATGATCGCTACATTTTGAAACTAGCAGCAGAGATCGATGGTATTGTTGTAAGCAATGATAATTACAGAGATTTAGCACAAGAAAATCCCGAATTTCGAAAAGTTGTGGAAGAAAGAATATTGATGTATACTTTTGTGAACGATCGTTTCATGCCTCCCGACGATCCGCTAGGTAGAAGTGGGCCAACTTTAGAAAACTTCTTGAGAACTTTTCCGAAAACGTTGGATCCTGCTCCACCATGCCCATACGCAAAAGTATGTGAAATTTTAACATTCTTTAATGAAATTAGTGATAGATTTTGATACATTTTACAATGCATCCGCTAAAAGATATTAAACAATGAAATACGCTTGTTGAGGATTCATACTATTAAAGAAGAATTGAGAAAATCGTTTATTTTACAGAAATGTACGTATGGAAACAAATGCAAATTTCGACATCCAGAAAGAGGCCCTTATCCACAGAAATCTGTCACGGAAAAATTAGTAGAACATGTACAAAAACATCTTCAAGCAAGGAATTCCACCTCAAACCTTTCCTCACCGAGCAATGCATCTTCCAAAACACATCAACCGCTTTGTAAAAGCAGATCAACGGCAACTAGTACCGTTCAGCCGTCAGCGTCAGTAACGAAAAGTAAATCCGCCGAAAATGTTGCGATTGAACAACCTCTAGTTTCTGGTGTTCATGAGACCCAAGTGTCGCCAACGACGAGTTCGCAAGGTAATTGACTTTTATAAACGTACAGGCTGTCGCAAAAAAATGCTACCACATTTTTATTAGCTGGTAGAACGTTGAATTTTTTTTTCTTTTTAGTGTAGTGCATTTTTTAACGATATTCTGTATTTATTGTATGGCTATCAATTGAAAATCTTTCATATTTTGTATACAATTTTAATTAACATATTTGTTACCTATAGGTTATCGGACTTCGATGCGGACATCTGAAAGATTAAATAAATCAGACCCAGAACCACCCAATTTACACAGAAAACTTCAGAGACAATTAACTTTAAATCCGGTCTACGATCCTAGGCTTTGCCAATTGAGACAATATCAGCAGATATCGCCGTCGAGTACTGCACCCCAACAGACGGCAGTTGCTTCTTCCAGCTCACAACACAGACCTTTAACTAGACATTACAGTAATGAATCGCCGTATAGAGTTGGCGTAAAGTGAGTGTCTTAATTTCTTATCTTGCATCATGAAATTCATTAGATATAATCCACATAGCTTCACTTTAAATATTAGTAATATTAAAGTTTAATATTAAATATTAACTCTTGAACCGTGGAACCTTCGCACGAGTCAACGAGCTTTAATTTAACTTATTTCCTCTTTTCTTCACTTGATTTTATTGCTTTTTTTTACAACATAATTAATTTTCTAACAAAAAAGTTTTAATTAAATTAATATATATAATTAATATATATAGTTGATCAGTAAGTTCTGTATTTCAAATTTTCTTATGAAATAATTTCTTATGTTACAATAGTTGGGATCACTCAGATGTAAGGCAGTGTCATCAACACGTAACACGTATCGCATCAGCGCCAGATTCTTATCATGCTGGACCGTCAAGTAACTCTAATATCGGATCGGAAACAACATCGGGATTAAATCAACAATTGGGAGACTCGGATTCAGAATCTGATGAAGTATTCGGCTCGAGGTGCCCATTGTACCAATTGTTGCCTTCAGTCGCGGTGAAACTGTTGTTGGACGAGAGAAAAGAAGTGCAAGATCATCTGCTTCGTATTTTCCCCAAAGATCAAGTGAAATTAGCTATGTTGCTTCATCCTTTCGAAACAGATCCAGTCGAGTTCTGTATCTTTATGTTAAAAAAATTTCCTCGTCGCCAGAACAAGTAAGACTCACATTATTTATTCACTTATTCAATGTGTAGTATTATACAAATACATTTAAGGAAACACGAATTTTATACAAACATTGAATAAGAGAAAAATACAAACAACTCGAGTAGTACATATTAAACAAAGTTCATTGTCAGTATCATTGTTGTCATCGGTGTGATCAAAATGAATAAAATCTTTCTATGTAAATAGTCATGATATGACTAATTGATAACAGTTGCTCGTAGTGTAACAATAAGTATATGTTTCGTAAAACAGTTGTAAAGAAAATTTTATTTAAACTTCAGGGGTTCCAGCTCGATTACCTCTATTTGATCGTAAAAATTGTCGAAGTCAAATTTTTTATTATGAATTTAACTGAATTTCAACAGTTAGTAGGATTAGACGTTGTTACCTAAAAAAAAAATTTGTTCACAAATTTTTTATGTCAAAATGACGAAAAATTCTGGGTGAAAATCGTTGATCTGTCTACAAACGTGCAAAGTAAAAGATTTGATTTTTTGAAGGCAGAATTGTGAAGTGTAATTTAAAATATTGAACTTGATCCCTTTTTCCTTGAGAGTTTAATATTAATCCTTATCGGACGCGTGTCACCATACACGTGACATTACACTTTTTATCATAGCGGACGTTTTTCTTTTGTTGTGTTACATAGCGAACTATTCTTCCATATTCGATGATATAGCGACAACTCAGGTATGAGAATCTAACATCCGATAAGGATTAACTGGTTATATACTCTAATATGAGGATAAGCTCGCGTTTTTTTTTTATTGCGATATATTGTTCATATTTCTTTGTAAACATTTTATTTATAATACCCTCCGTATTATTAACTTGAAAGTAAACCGTTAAGAATGCATCTATATAAAAATAATTGAAGAGACGAATTGAACTTCACCATAATACAATTAACAGCTCTTTATTTTTAGACAATAATATCATTACAACTTATGGAGTAGCTGTTAACAGGTAATTAAAGTGAAAAATAAATTTAAAAATTCTAAATCATTGATGTGTTCGTAACCTATATCAGTAATAGTATATAAAATAATGGTTAGTGTAGCATTGTTACATTATTAATAATAATTATCACCACATAACATCACTATCCGTCTTCTTTAACACAGATTATTTTTGTAATGTTTATATTTTAAGCAACTAAGCAGGTGCTACCCAGCCACCAAATGCTTTCTCCAGTTCTTGTGCTACGGCTAGACATAAATGATCCTTATATGGAGCTGCTACAACCTTTAATAGAATAATTTTAATGATTCGGCGAAAAGAGAATATTGAAAATCTTATGTCAAATATTTCCAAGTATTATAATATTATGTTTACAACATATATTTCTAATGTTTTACAATTAAATAGGATGAATATCTTACCTGTACCCCAAGAGGTAATCCATTTTTATCTAATCCAAGTGGTACTTGACAAGTTGGAAGCCTAAGGACGTTAAAGAGACACCAATAACCGAAATTGAAGGGTCTCAAATAAGCTGTGTAGTGATAGCCAGCTGGAAATGGTGAAGATGGATAAAATAAGACTCCATCGTCTTTCAATTTGTCCTAAAAAAGAAGATATACCTTTTATACATCGTAATTTTAATAGTTCGGAAATATCAAAACGAATAAGAACAAATTAATTTATAAAATAAAAATCTCCAATAAAAAATTAAATTGTATCGATATATACTGTTTATCTCTCCGTATGTCTAAAATGTGAACATTTACCAATAAATATTTTTTCATGTTTGCAGTTACATTCATTGCCCATTCAAGATTATCTTTTGGTAATATATCTTCGTCAATTAACTTCATAATGGCGGCTAGTGTCAATTCAGACTTTCCAGTTACCAATTTCGAAATTTCTGTAATGGCATTTGCACGATACTAAAAAATATGAGGTAATTTATAAATATAGTCAAGCATGAGTAAATTTTTGCTGATATTTTAACAAGTTACCTTTTCATTTGTTATACTTAATTTAAAATCTAGATTCTCTTGAGACATCCAAAACCTCCACAAACGATAACTGTATTCAGAACCAGGTATTTTTATCTATAATGAAAATATGATGAAATTGTAATTTTTTTAAAACAAAAACTTACAATATAGCATCAATACAAAAATAAAAATTGTACTAATATATTGTACAAGCCATTCAAATTCTGAAACTAACAAATTATACAATTGATTGCTACTATGATTAATTTAAAAAAAAGGTAAATATGCAGAAATAGAAATTATAATTTGAAGATGCAGGATATTTACTTTTGTTGCAGATCCAGTAATTTCTTTAAAGTGATATACAGCTTTTAAAAGGGCAGTCTTCATTTCTGAATTTACTTTACTTGCTCTCAAATCACCTGAACTTTCTTGATAAAAAATTTTAATTTGTTTTACATCAACTGGTGTATCAAGTTGTAGAAGAGATGCTTTCTTTCCGATTAGAACCTTTAAGAGAGGTATTAGATCTTCCGACTTTCTACAGATTGGACCTGCTTCTGCCATTGAATTCGGATAGTCCATTTGTCGAAGTCCAATACCTTTCAGTGGTGTTAAACCTGAAAACAATCTTATGAATGCAGAATATTACAATGTTCCTAATATCACAATTTTTCCTCATTATTAATTTACAACTTTTAATTTTATTGTTCTTATGATAAAAACTTAAAAATTTCTAAAACCTTCACTTGGTTTGTGTCCAAAAACTCCATTGAAAAAAGCTGGCATTCTAGTGGAACCACCAATATCACTACCAATAGACATTGCACTTCCGCAAGCAGCTGTTATTGCACCTTCTCCACCACTACTCCCACCAACATTCTTAGTAGTGTTATATGGATTACAAGTTTGTCCATACACATTGTTCCTTGATTCTGTCCACAAATTCAATTCAGGAATATTTGTTTTTGCTATTAAGATTCCACCTGCATTTTTTACTAAGGAAACTACAGTTGCATCTTCTTGAGAACGATAATCATATCTGTTTGTTAAACCCATGGTATGAAGCATACCTGTAAGTTCAAATTACATATATGTGTAGGAAGGACTTAATCAAAATTATGAAATATAAAAATATCTTTTCATAATAATATTGGATAATATAAAAATATGAAATTACCTTTAGCTTCAATGCTTTCTTTTGTCGTAAAAGGAACTCCTAAGAAAGGTTGTTCCTTTTTTATTCCATCAACATTTTCCAATGTTTGTAGCAATTTATCTACTGCTTTAGCTTCTTCCAAAGCATCAGAATATCTATCCTCTACGACAGCATTTATTAGTTCATTTACTTCTTTCGCTCTTTCTATGAATGCTGTAACAACTTCCAAAGATGATACCTCCTTTGTTCTGAAATAACATTATGTATTTAATTATTTTGAAATGTATTAGATAATTTAATAGTGAAAAAACAAAAAAGTGGAGTATATTTTTAATCAAATAAAAATTTATGTTTTGATGATAAGAAGACAAAACTAAAGATATATTTTTAATATTTGTACCTGATTTTATGAGCCAACTCTGATGCACTCATTAACAGTAAATTATTTTTTACTGGTGGTACTCTTCGTACCTTACCATCGTAAAAAAATCCGAAAAGTATATCCACAAAAATATCAAATATCATATGGATCTGAATAAATAACCATTTTAAACAATCCATTGAAACCTTTTTTGATGCTTCCAATACATCTTTGCTTGTATTATTGTCCTATACAATAAAATAAATGTATACTTAACTGATTTTATTACTTAATAAATAAAAAATACTTTAACAAAAAATGTATTATTTTATTTGTACATACGTAAATAAGAAATAATTAATTACCTTATTTTTAATTGAAGTACACATATTAATATATTCGTTTTTAAATATTTTCAAACGTTAAATCTGCAAATCTTATGTGCGTGACTGTGTACTTATTTCATTCGCGTCAATGATCTCTATAAAACCTTGTGCATAGTAACGTTCTATGTTGACCTTTGAAAATATATTTCCATAATGAAATACATTTCATATTTAGAAATAATATACTATTATGCAAATAATAGATATATACTTGTTTATGCAATTTACTAAATACTTACTTAAAAAATAAATTAAAGGAAAACAAAGTCACATAATTTTAATTAAACGCAAAAACATTAAACTTCATAATTGAATTCTTTTCTTTTTTCAATAAACATTTCATTAAAAAAAAGTATTTGTTGAAATCCTAAAAATAAAAAATAATTTTGAATTACTTTAATGAAAGAGAGAAACTAATATCAATAACACCTTTAAAATTACGTGTAAGTAACGGTACTGACGTCCTGTATAACACGAACAGTTTCCTGAATAATTTTGTTTACGTTTTTCAAGCTTTTAAACGATAAATACTTACATTGATCAAAATATTGATAATATAGCAAAACTTATAAAAATTATTCTGTAATTCTATAAAAACTTATACACATATATGAACTGCAGTGACAAATATTTTTTATAATATTTTCAAATCCATCTATGTAACTTTGAGGTTAGTAACATTTTAATTAAAAATAAATTGTTTTGTTGAATAATAATTTAAAGCTTTTACAGAATAAATTCGATAAAGTTAACTGCAATAATACTGTAACAGTAAAACGTTCCATAAAATATAATTCATTAAATTTTCAAAATTTGAAATGAAAAAAATTCATAAACACAAAGTGGTATGTAACAATAGAATTTTAAATTACAATTTTTTTTACGTATTAATAATTATATTTCTTATTTTAAGAACGAAGCTATTGAATTTCTTCACTTAAGTAAAAAGAGTGGAGAAAAATGGGGACCAACAACGAAAACAGAGGAAAATTTAAAAAAAGATAATCCACAGTGTAAAATTATGCATCGACATAGAACAAAAAAACAACTACATTCTATGGGTATTTCAAAGAATACGATTCTTTCAGAACTAAGATCTCATGCAATTAAAAAAGATTGGAGCAAAGTACGAAATTTATTTTTAATATTACTTCATTTGTCCACTGATGTAGAACCTGTAATATGGCGATATGGTTTCATACTTACATTATATAGTAATATAAATAATTTATTTAATATTTCTGAATTTTTTAAAATGTGTATTGGTAGTGTAGATTCCGATAGAAATTTGATATTAAAAAATTTATTATCATTATCATCAACTAAATAATTAATTATAATTGTAAATATAATAGAAAAAGTATTCTCTAAACCAAACTGTGATTTTGAAATTAATAAATAATTTAGTATTACTCGATAAATCAAATTTAGTAATATTTTGAACCACCTGTAATATATGTATTATTAGTATACTGCGATGTAATTAATTAAAATGAAAAAGAAGCGAAGTTATATGCAAAGTTCAAACATTTATCATGCAGAAAAATAATGAATAATTAAATATTATCCTTTGTTAGATGCCTTAATGTAAATATTAACACCATAGAATAGTATGATGTAGATGGAAATGCTACTTTTTTGTAGCTTCCTTAAATGGAGAAAATATAGCGAATCGAGTAGCTTGTTATCATTAATTACTTTTTGTATTGTATTCTATGCTTGTTTTCCTCAATAATAATTTCATATATATATTTTCCTTAATAAAATAACTTTTATAATAGCATATTATGAAACAAATAACATATCATATGAGAAATACAGTTTTATATTCCTATAAATTTATTAAATATTTTCTAATAAAGCAAGGTGTTTTTAATTTTTAATAAATTTACGTGTCTAATTATTATTTGTAATCGTCGAAATTTAAATACCTATTTACAAGTGTCTCACCATTGTGGATACATTTTAAGTTTACTTACGTGTAAGATGTAACGTTAGCCATCTGTCGGAGAAAATATAGCTCTATGTGTGTACCTGCATTTTGCTTTAATCTATTCCTCTTACCTTCTCGTGTTCACTTAAAGATCTACTTTTGCGTAAAATGTCTGAAGTATTTATGTGATTATTTTAACACGTACTTGTTAAGTATTTAATATTGAAAATCTACAAATGTTTAACACCTTATTTCTAGACAGCTAACGTTGAATCATAAAATGCGAAGTCAAGATGTAAATCTAAGAAACACGTCGTGATATTTATATGAATTGTATTTTTCGTTACTTCATCAAAATGGATTTTGGCACTTTGTTGAGTGTGGCACAAAAAAATGAAAATAGCAAGCAGGTTATTAAATTGTCACTTTTAAATTTTTCTCGTCCTTGATTTTATGTGTCTACAAAGTCTAATATTTTCATCGAGTATTTTTCTATATTTTTTAGCCGATTGCTTGCTATCAAACGAAATTTGCCCCACCTAAAAAGCCAACTAAACAGGCGAAGGCTCTTTCTGACAATATTAAAAAATTTCTAGCTCGCAAAGAAGAAGAAGAAAAACGGAAAGTTTTAGAGGAGAAGAAGAAAAAAGAGGTATAAAAAGACATATTTTGTATATAAATCTTCTGCATATCCAACAATAGAATTTCACATTATTATTATTACTTTTTATATGTAGAATTTATTAGCATTACGGGATCACAAAACGCAAAGTCGAATAAATAAACATTTGAAAGTATGCAAGGCAGCAAATAAGTCTGCAATCGAAGATGCAATTGACAATGAGAATACAGCTGTGACAATGGCAGGTATGACATCATTATTGATTTAATATACAGAAATTTGACACATTTAACACTTTGATTTATATATCTAAAAATTGCTGTAATATCAAAGCACTTTTTTTTTGAGAAAACAGATGATTGATTATTATCTTTCATCATTATAAATTGTAATATAGTTGTTCTACTTAGTGTTTTATAATAAAGATTGATAATCTGATGATTAACGTGTTAAAGAGTTCAAATGATAATGACATTTTTGTTAGCATTATGTGTACATAATGTTTAATACTAAAACTATATTTTATTCTTGTAAATATTGCAAAAATTACTTTCAATATACACATATATGGCATTTTTGTATAGTTTGAGTAAAATACAATATTTGGTACTCATTTATCCACTAGTATACGTAAACATTTACATACTGGTAGTTATTTATTATCTTCGATTATTATATTTCATGTGGCATACTCACAGTTTATGAATTTATTAGCTAATGTAACAGAGGTGAATATAGGTTCTAATGCTTAAGGAAACTACTAGAATGGTATATGCGATCAATGCAATTCTCATTGAGTATTTAGAAGTATCAATTTCTATCCATGATGGGCAGTATTTTTGTCCACAGGTAATTGAATATGAATTATCTAGATTAATTATTATTATTCGACAAATTATCTTGAATATAGTGCATAAAGTAAGGGACCATAACACATTTTTGTACATTATGTAAATATTCTACTTGTATGTTACTTTGGTTGTTAATAATGTATACAACTAATATAAGTACTTAAAGAAATGAGTTGATCTTGAATTAATTAATTTGGGACAGGTGATACTCATCTTCTGAATATTACAGAAAATATAATAATATCTTGCTAGAAGAATAATAACAATTTCTTGTTCAAGAAGTATATAAAAATAAAAATTGCAATTAAAGTATATAGTAAAATTTTATATTAATTCCTCTTATCGCTTTTAATAAAAAGATTATATTGACAGCTTTATGCACTTCTACACTTACAAAAATTTAATTTTCGTAAAAGAAAAAACAATGATTAATGTGTAATGCAAAAAGTATTTGCAATTACCATTAAATTGGAAGCTATAAGGAAATGTATAATTTGATTGTACCTATAAAAATTTGATATATACTATTGTTTAAAATTAAACATATAGATTTTTAGTTTCTTTATTTTATATATCCAAAGTTTACAAATAAATATGTTATCTGGAAAAAGTTATTAAAATTCTGTACATTTAATGTATCAGTACAAGTTTATTTTGGTACTGTAAGAATATTAAAACATTAAAACTACGTAGATACTATGATTATGAAGTTGCGATGACGAATTTCTGCCGCATTTGTAATTAAGTTCACAGAAATCATGAATATAGAAAATATTGTTACCTCTGCAGAAATTAAGTCTCAGACTTGAAACAATATTAATGAATCAAGCTAATATTAGCTTTATAATAGAGAACAGATTTTCTATCTTTAACCCTTTCACTTGAAATTGTGGTGTATAGTAAGAATAACTACCCATGTGCCAGCATTCTTTCTGTGAGCAAAGCAGACTCTATCTCGAAAGAACATTAGTTCATGTGTCAAGGATTGTTATTGCTTCATGAATCATTCCGAATATTCTTGCTGTAATCTCGTCCACGAATTTGAGATGAAAGAATATTTTATTAGGGTCTCTTTAAGAATCGCATCGTAGATTTTCTTTGTGTATAAGTTTGACAGGAAAGCATTTCAATTAGTGGCCAGCTATTACTTTTGATTTCATTGCATATAAATAATTTAGAAGATTTGTTGGATTATCTGCTTGTAAAGCTCCCTTAATAATTTAATATTTTCGGATGTATTTCTATTAAGAAATCAGTATTAGTTCAATTTATACCCTGTTCCATTCTTTTGAATGATAATTCATTTTCAATACCTGCAATGACAATGAATTTGTTTTTTGGATTTATTACGCTAACATGCCATTGTATATCTAGTGACAGTTTAAGCTAATGTATGTTATTGGAAAGTAGAAATCTTCGAGGAAATATAGAAGGGATAGACAAGAGAATAAGCTGTATAAAAAGTTATCAAATTTAGCCACTAACTGACGCGCATTCCCTTCAAGGTGTATTGTAAGCGGAATAACTCTTGAATACAAGTTCTCTATTACAGGGCTGCAAAGGAATTTTATTCATTTCGAATGATGAGAGGACAAAGTGACAAGAAAGAATGTCGCGAAAATCGACGAGACAATTTTCGAGTTAGTGAGCAACAACGTGATCATAACGGCTTTAACTTTTTCGAGGGATAGCGATGATGGGAAAGGTAACATGCTTTCCTGATGGAAAGAATGCTGGTGTATGGGTTGTTAATGTTCAAATAAAAAGCGTTAAGTTTTTATACGATTAATTATATTCAAATACTAAAAAAAGAGTTGATTACGCTGCCAATGTCTATTTGAATATAATTAATAACATAGAATATCTAGCTCTTTTTATTTCCACGTTATTGCTAGAAAAATACTTTAGTTTCTACTTGAAGTTTTACTGGAATTAAACTACATATCTTATACAAGTTATAATTTCAATTTCAAAATAACTGAATGCAATTAACGCTGCAATGGATTTCACAGAAATGAAATGTACTTTAGTAGTAACACACCTTTGTAGTCTTCAACAGATAGGCAGGTTTAAAGTTATACCTATGATAGTTTGCATGTAAGTTTCTAAAGGATCTTACATGAACCTCGGGATAAAAGTTCGTATCTCGATTGATTCATCTCACTCACGTCTCTTTTAGCGTGTAATTATACTTAAGGAGTTCTTTCATGTATTTAAGAACAACTGAAATCATAATCTTTTTATATTCATTTTCATTTTACTTTGTCATGAAGAATCACCTCTTAGCTGGGATACAATGAAACAAATTTTGTCTTACCTGTTTCCTATTTTACCTATAATATTCTCATATATATGTTTCAATAATAAAATCATTGGTAATAATAAGAATAATAATATAAGATACTGTTTGAATATTAATGCATATCATTATATGTAGAAGCTGCTGCACGCTTTTTTTAGAATGTAATATTCTTTATGATCCAAGACATTGTGAATTTTAGTTTTTTATACAGAAAGTGGTTGCAAAGTATCAAAATATCGTAAAATCTCAGTTTATACTGATTCATGGAAGAGTTCACTGTTTGAGACAGTGAAAGCAATTTTTTAGGCAAATGACTTCCATTAAAAGTTCTGCTAACAACTTGTAATGCGAATATTTCAAACAAATCAGAGTCGTACGAGATGAAATGTTTCTATTGTATATTCTAAAACTGATTTTTTTTAGGACCCTCTCAACCGGACGAAGATGATTACGGTTACGTGTCGCAAGAAGCTTCTGCATTTTATAATCAGTTAATGAATAAATACAATAATGCTCCTCCTCAAAAACCTCTCTTCAGTGACAGTCGGAAAAGAACAATAAAGGATATCGCTTCCACGAAGGTAAGAAATCATATGGAATTCTTAAAATGAAAAAATAAATAAAATGATAATAAAATTAACTGTGATTCCAGGACAGAGTAAAGCAAGCTTTAAAGCAACAGGAAGTGGAAGAGGCGTTAGGACACCGTCGTAAACGAAAATCTTCTGCAAAAGAAGTAGAAACTGAAGTAGAAGAAAAAATTGAGAAAACTGCACCACCAGTTGAGGATAAAAAAGAAAAGGATGAAAAACCGAAGATTAAAAAGAGACCAATGCCACCTCCGATGGATTTCAACGAATTGCTTAAAATTGCGGAAAAGAAACAACACGAGCCAATCGTGATCGAGGCGAAACCAAAAGTCGAAGAACCGGAGAGACTAATGACTAAGAAACAAATGAAAGAATATGCAAAAGAGAAGGAATGGCGGGAGAGAAAGGAACAACGAAGTAAAGTGGGCAATTCAAACAGCAAAGAAGGAACTACCTCGACTAGCAAACCGAGTAAAACGCAAGATCCTGCTGGCATCGCTAATCAGACAAGCAAAAATCCCAAGGCAACTGAATTGCCAGTGTCGAATAAAACGCTTACGAAAACGCCAAATGTAGTACAATCTCCGATCCCGAAAAAGGTAGTCGAGAAATCGGGTGAGAGTAAATTAAATTCCAATAAAGTGAGTAATTCGAAAACATCGGAGAGAGACATCATTCTGGAGGAACGGAAGAAATTGGAGTCCGAAAAGAGGAAATTGGAGGAAATGCGACAGGCCATCGAAGAAGAGAAAAAAAAACTAAAATTGAGTAAAACTAAAGTCGCAGATACGAAAAATGTAAAACCAGAGAAACCTGCACCGAAACCGAAAGTTTTGGAAAAGCAAGTGCCGTCGACAAGCATGAAGCAGAAAGAAATGCCCGCAACGAACGCGGTGAAGCCTCGTCCACCTCAAATGTCTAATGAAAAAGTCAGACAGTTCCCTCCGGCAGATCTGAAGCCGATCAGATCTAAACAGCTGATTCCTTCGAGAGATCAGAAGAAAGGATTAATCGCACATAAACGTGAGTATATATTTAAATTTTATGATATACATAATTTATAATGCAATGATATTAATTATACGTATAATTATTTTGGAAGAGTATCGAATGCAAAAGCTTATTTAATAAACCTGTTGCCAAATCTTATAGGTCGTATACAAGATGAGGATGAAGATGAAGACTACGACTCGGAACTTGATGATTTCATAGATGATGAAGTAGAAGAGAACACGGAAGATTATAGTAAATACATAAGTCAAATATTTGGCTATGACAAAAATAAATACAAGTTCGGCAGTTACGATGAAGATGACGCTGCTATGGAGAGCAGTTTCGCACAACAACTTAAAGAAGAATATGTATCTACTAAAATAGGTAATATCAAAATACTGTTCTTCTCATTGTTTTCATGTAACTAATCAAATAAACTTTCTAGGCATTATGGAAGACTTGGAGGACATGCGTATGGAAGCTTTAGAGAAAAAGCGAAAAGCTATGTTAAAGAAAAAAGTAAAACACTGATTATTATGTTCTTTATAAATTTTTATGAAATTTTATTTAATAAATTACGCTATACTTATACGATGCTCAAAATCGTTGGTGTCTCTATTCTTGTAATAAATTATTAGATTTAGAGAAGTTTTATTGCATGATACCTGCCTTTTTATGTATCTACATACTTTTCTCTATTCTTTCGTTTGCAAAGGAAAATTAATTTATGCCTCTTTTAATGAATAAACCGGATGTTTCCCGTTTAAGTCCAACAATCTAACAATACTTTGTTTTTTTTTATCCAATTTATTTGCAAAAGAATACAATCGTTTTAAATTGGGATATTAAATAGTTTTATTTCTTACTCGTCTTACACTTTATGTAATAATATCTATGAATATATTTGTTGGAAAATTATTTTCAATTAAAAATATATATTATATCTTCCTTGTATGTAGGAAAGGAATGCTCTGATAATGTAAAGTAAGCGTTAACCAGATATATTTCCTTCCTTACGGCATTATTTTATATTAAAAGAATACATCGCTGATTTCAGTTTTCTGATTTCACCTTAATATCAAATATATATATATACATATATATCCATATATATATATATATGTATATGCGTTTACATACATACCTAACATGTATATTATTTATAATAAAATAAATATATTATTTCAATATTATGCTTAGGTATAATGTTTGCATTGAGGTAGATAAAAATAGCCAGATATTCACCAGAACGATCTTGGCGTTACAAATTCTCTTGCTTCTTAATGAATTTCGTCATTCGTTGTACGTTGTATTCTTATTAAAAAATTCTGACATTTACGGTCTATCAATGTGACCAATGAGAACTTTGATGTCAATGGCAATTTTCCAATTTTTTTGACATATTTTATCAAAAATAATTCTCTTATAACTTAAGTTGATATTTGCGTTTGAACAGTTATTAATTATTTTTTCAAACATTGAAAATCTGACGTTCATGCATTAATAAAATAGAAAATTCAGAAGGTTTATACATTTCATAGTGACAATAATAATAATTTATAATATTTCAAATACTATTAACATTGTACTCTTTTTTAGTAAATAACGTAAAACACATACTTATGATCAATAGTTTTACAGACAAGATATCTGAATTTAAATATTGATGATATTTTACATATTCAATGAGAACACTTAAATATAAACATTTTCAATGAATTTTAAGGATACACACTTTACAATATCGTTTCAAATAATAATTTGCAACACAAAATATTAAAGATATGCAATAGCATGACGCTTTTGATCATACAACGTAATTATTGGTTTTTCTGAATGTACTTCAATAATTACAGTATCACATCAGATTACAATTATGAATAAAAATATACATTTTACATAAACGATATAAAAAGCTTACAAATATGTATTTCGATAAAGGTAATTTAAGAGTTGATAATCTCAACGCTAACTAGAGTATTTAATATAAGTTAC